CCCCCCCCCCCGTTGTCCCATGGTTTCCGAGCCAGCTGGCACGGCAAGCCCTCTCTGGGCGGGCGCTGCCAAGTTCAGCCTCTCAGCCACGCAGGGCCAGGACAACAGCTGGGGGGAGGGAGGGTTGGCAGGGGCCAGCGTCACTGCAGCGCGAGTCACCAGGCCATGGTGCCCCTGTAGCCTCACGGGGCAGTGGCACCTTTGCCTGGGCCCCTCCAGGCTGCCCTGCAATGCCAGCAACAGCGGGGGGGGCTCCACAGCCCCCCCGGGGGCCTCAACCCTACACCACGGCAGGGCAGGGGCAGCTCCCCAGGGCCGATTCCCCCGCAGGGACTGGAAGGCGCCCTCTGGCCCGGGGCAGGGAGTCCATGAGGTGTCAAGGAGGGGCCCTGCGGTACCTGCTGATGCATCTGCCTGGCTGGCGATCCGGCTGGCAGCAGATTCACTGGGTGAGATGGATGGTCCTCGGGAGGAATGAGATGTGACAAAGGCGCCTGGAAAGGGAGGGGACGGGCCAGGCAGGGCAGTGCCAGGGGAGGTGCACAGGGCGGGAAATGGAGATGGCGTGAGGTGACAATGAGAAGGGGGGGCTGAGCCAGCTGTCTCTGGCCTGGTGACTGTCCCAGGACAGGGCACCCCCGGGCAGTAGCACTGCACACAGGGACCAGACCTGGGCCCAGCTAGCCTTACACACCACAGGCCCTGTACCTGAGGTGGTGGTGGGGAACCTGCCCCTGGAAGGTCTCGTCCGGGACATCAATACTCAGACTGGCATAAACCCCGGACCAGGTTTCATATCCCTGCCAGAACGGTCCTTCCCTCCGATCCCTCTGGCTATTTGTGTCCCCACAAAATGGCCAGGCCCTTGGCCTCAGGGACATCCCGTGGCAGAGAGTTCCACAGGCTAATTACACTCTCCCGTTTCGCACCTTTCCATGCCATGGACCATCCCCCAGCCCCTCTGCTGCAGCCCCAATCTCCCTCCCCCTGCACAGCCCCCATCGGGATTTACAGATTTCTGTCCTTCTCACTCCAAGCAGTGACACACTGGGCCACTGACACGCCTGGCTGTTAGCCACAGGCCACCTGCCGGGACTCTGCCAACGCAGCCTCTTCACCACCCCGTCTCTGACCCAAAGGACTGCAGGGGTGAAGCCAGCGGCTCAGCTAACTGGGTAGCAGGGGACCCCATGCCTGGGCTGCCTCAGAACAGAGGCCAGGCGGGGGGGGGGGGGG